ATGTGCCCGTATAGTCAAACCATTTGGTACATCTCGTATGGCTTCAGTTTTTTTCAGTGAACCAGTTTTTAATGTACTCAATAAGCGAATTAAAGGATTGAAATCGCTCACTTGTTTGAATTTACTGAAGATCTCTTCCAATGGGTAAAAATAGGGACTGTACGGTGGGAGAAATCGGACTTGGTAGTTGACATTTAATTGCGCATCCAAAGCTCTCCGATGAACGGGCGCATTGTCAAAGATAAAAACTACTGGGAAACCCGGTTGCTTAGTAGCGATTAGCGTAGAGCAGCTTGGAACCCACTGAAAACATGCCAAGTGATCTTTGCATGACAGTTATATTTTAGGATACCAGCGACAGATGAACATGCTATTATGTTCAAGTTGGGTCCTTTGCTGGACGGGTGGCTCCTAATGGCTTTACAGCCCACTTTGGATCTTCCATAGCTGCGACAGGACCATATTTGTAAAATATAAATTTTTTCAACATTCGCTGACCTCAGAATATTCCGATAGTTTTTTTTGTTCTGTGACTAAAGGTTGTGCGTCGAGTCTAAAGGATTGCGGGTTGAGGCTAAAGGATTGCAGTTTTTGGCTAAAGCTTGATGGGAAAAGGTATAGTAACAGTTAGATAAGTCATAAAGAATACACGAGTGAAGAGGTCCTGACGACAGATAACAGGTGGTATTCTTATCCCCATATCCCGTGATCACATAAAATCGCATAAAATTCGAATGATGGAAAACGTGATTCTTTTGAACAGAACCCACCATGGCTCTTGAACAGGATTGGGTATACAGTGTCTGTACCACAAACTGATACAATTTACCATCCGGATCCCGACAAATCTCTTGTAATTGCGTACGGAAAGCCGCTTCGGTGGCTTGTAGTGGTGGTACCCAGGATGATGCTAGTATATCCTGCAAACGAAACAGAAAATATGCGGGGACAGGGCAGGAAAATAGATACGGAGATCAGGTGCGATAAGAGAACACGTTGCAAAATATGTTGATTAAAGTTAATAATACTTTATTTAAGAAGCCTTTTTTGTGATTGAAATTACGTACACCGGACCCACCTTTACTCTGTTAACAACATAATAATTCATGTTTGGCCCTAAACAACTCCCAGTTTATTGAACTTTGCGAACCGGATCGGAACTTGCTACGATCTTCCTCCATGAATATTTAGTTTGCACTTTTCCGTAATTCCCTTGTGATTACGTAACCGAACCTCATAGAAACTCCCTGTATTAATCGTCGCAACCCGTTCTTCGTCCGGCCTGTTATCGCGATATATTATCTAAACTTAATATGGAAACCGTTTGGTACTTATTGTCGTGATCCCTTCCTCGTCCAACTTGTTACTGTAATCTTTTATCTCAACCCCACACGCAAACTGTGTCGAGGTAACTGTCGTCCTATTGTCGTATTCTATTATTGCCACCTCTCATGGAACTTTGTCGTAGTAACTCGTTCTGTGCTTAATCCATTATCGTGTTCAACCATCTCGATCAGGTATAGAAACTGCCGCTTGTTATTGTGGTCACCGTATCATCACTCACCCTCTATATTGACCCTACCGTCTTCAGTGTTCATTCCTTCTCGCAAGCAGTTGTTTCTTAATCCACATTGCACTGCCCGCCCATGTGTGTTTAACCACCCCAGACACCCTCCTCGTGTCCGTTGT